ACATTAGGTCAACATTTAAACTATGTTAGATAAATTCAAAGATAAATATAATGAAACAAAAATAAAATCATCTGAATATTTTTCTTGATGATTTTAGTTGTGACTGTTCAATCAAAATACAGTGAAAATATGAGTTCATGAATAAATAATATGAAATTTAGCTCTTTGAGTTATCTTCATTTGAAAGAGGTAGAATTGAGTAAAAAAAGTATCTCTTAAGTAAGTAATGTGTTGAATAATAGCATGATTAAAGAAATGACATATTATTTGCTTTGCTTAAAAAGTAGCTATAATATTTGTTAATATCTAAAGACAACTTTTGAATTTATGTTTTTTTTTTTAATAGTTTATGATAGTCAAGTCTTACTTTGGAAATATAATTAGACAGGAATTGAAATTAGTAGCTTAACCTGTCACAGATTATAGACATGCTAAAAATTAAAAAGTATCTTTTATTGGTTGAGAACTATTATATTGTTATTGTATTTAGTATACATCATTTTGCTAACAAAGCTTACTGTTATTTTTATTTTAAAAACATATTTTGTCTTTGTATATGTTTTCTTAATAAAACAGACTATGAAATGTTATTAATAAATTATACTACATGTCAATTAATAAAAATTTTCACATCATTTTTATTTTAAAAATAAATAATTCGTGGCAATTTACTCTGTGATATTAATATTGTTCATTCTTTAGAATTTATTGCATGTCTTTTAAATTATATATTAATGCCATTAATACACAAAAATTATTTGTTTATACTAACCAATTATTATATATATAAATAAATAAACATTAACACAATTACTAACAAATGAACATTATCAAGATTACTATGTTTATTGTATATGTCAATATATGAAGAGTATCACAATTACTGTGCTTTATTTTTGAAGACAAAATAATAATCATTAATTTATAACAACATGTCATATGTAATTAGTTTATTAGTATTAGTTTTAAAATATTTAAATAATATAAATTTACAATTCACAAGAAAAAAAAATAAATAATTGAAATTTAATGAAAATAAATACTTTTCTGAATTAAAAATATTTTAAATCCAACTGATAAATTAAAATAAACCCAAAAACAAAGAAATAATTTATTATACATTATATTCAGTAACAATTCTATTCTCTCTAAATGTGATTCAAGTTCAAATCAAACAACTACTTTAATTTGTAATATACTGATAAAAATAAAAAAGCCTAATGCATGATCTCATATTCATATATACTCTATTAGACAACTAATCAACAGATTATATTAATATTGTTCAATTAGAAACTTTATTGTTATTCAAAGAAAAAATATATAGAAATAGGTTTGCTATCAAGCCTATTCTACTCTTACAAAGAGTTGACCTGTGCACTTCTTAATGGCCAACCTCAAACAAACTAACTATCATAGTCTCTACTTCTAAATTTCTTCTCACTTTTGCACTATTCTGACACCCTAGACCAAACAACTATCCTGCTCAATAAACTACCTTTTCAAAACAATGCTGAACAATCTTATCAGAGTGATAAGTAATATTTGCATAGTTAAAAAGAGAATTGAGTTGTTAAATAATATGTGCCTCTTCATACATAGCTATAAACTTTTTCATGATCCTTGCACTGTCATTATAGCTGCATTGCCAAAAACAATTAAAGGTTCTTGCATTGCTAAGGCAGCCATGGAGCCCTATTCTCATAGAATAAATTAAGACCCAATCTGTGATTATTGCACTGTGCATAACCACTGAGCCACTTACTATTCGGGAAAACAGATGGGATGAATGAGTCAGCCTTTTCTAAGGTGACCGATAGTGAAACAAAAGATGACTATTATTTCTTAAACTGTTATCCTTATAATGCCCTTCTCTTTCCTTACCATTCATATGCATATGCCTTTTCTCAAACCCTTGGACCTAATAATCACTACTCTTTTGCTAATATTCATAGTAACTTAAACAATAATTAATCATATGCAATCATAAACCTAGCATTGTCATAAGTCTGCATCTGACAAAAACTCTAATAAAAAACTTTAGACTAACCTACAATAGAACATAAACAAAAACAAATTTGTAATAAAATCATCTGATCTCACAATAATAAACACTCTGTTATTTCATTGACAAGCTATCAAAAATTAATAACTAATCAACAACTAATTAATATTACTATGTTTGGAACCAGTTTTATTTTTCTTATGTTAAAATCAGTTTTAATTAGATTTAATATAAGAAAAATAAAACTGATTCCAAACTCTAAACATCACATTATAAACATTTACATAATTTAAATAACTAATCAACACTAAATCACAAAATCGTATACAGATTAAAATTTAAATAATTTTATCAGCAAATTCTATTTATTACACCAGAAAACAGAATTCTAGAAATGATATAAGTCTGCAATTTGTCATAAATAATTATTATATATTCATTTATAATTCTGATTTCAGGAATGATATATAGAATTTGCTGGACACAGTAATTTGAAAGGTGCAATAAACAACTTGGAAATAACATGATTACACTTTATTCCTACTGATTCATTATCTCATGAACTATCACCACTTACAGGAGTAACTGTCCAAATATGTAGATAATCCCGATATTGCTACACAAATGATAAATGATTTTTTACACATAATAAAATACACCCATTAGAAAGCTCAAGTAGCTTAACTTTCTATAAAATGCTGTGAGTATAACAGATTAATTAACACTTTCACCTCATCTTGTAACATGTATATTTAATCCCAACAACTTTTTTGTAATTTGATTAGCTAATTTACAAGGTTGCTTACTAACATTTATATATAACCTTATCAAAATTATCTACATATCCAGACTGTAGTCACCATCTACTTCAATAGAAATCATACAAATTATACAAATTCAACTACTTTATGCTCATCAACATAACTACACTTCATAAATTCAACTCCCTCAATGTATCCTTTATCCTTGTTACGGCTATAAAAACGACACAATCGACAATATAATAGAACAATACCCCGATTATATAATGAAATAACATGATCAGAAGATCACCGGCAAAATAACCAAACACTCCAAAATATAACCGAGCCGGCGTGTGGATTTAACGATGGTCACGGGGTCTTACAAGACAACACTTGCACTTTTATTAAGGTCGGGTAAGTAGTTTATGTTTCGCAGTTGTAGATACTTTATTATTCTTTTATTATTTCTATCTAAATCCTATCTAAAATCCGTCATCACAATATAACAAATTTAAAAGCCACGATAACAAAATGATCACAAACGTATAGTTTTGTATTACTTTTTTATTATACGTAGAGATAGCTGTTTGTACAAATGTACTTTTTATGATTGGTCAATGCTTTGAAATGGTAACGTTGCAAATTCAAGTATAGCCACGATATATTCGAAAATTTATTCAAACGGTACGCAATAATTTTATCAATATCGATATTGCTAACTTTATTTAAATTCTGTTCATGGTTTTCAAGAATTCAGATTGCAATACTCTAAATTACGATTACAAAATTGATTATAGTATGAAATAAACATTTAGAATCGTTTGAATGTGTGAGAAATATATTACCGTTACATATTTATAATAATATATATATATGGGCTAGGGGCTATAGGAAAAGGGGAAATCAACAAAAAAAAAGATCTTCAGAAAATCAATTTTTACATTATAAATTTTATAGTAAGCCATAAGAAATTGTAAATTTTAAAGAGCTATACTGCAAAATTTTATAGTACAATTACTTTTATGTTTTAAGTAAAAAACGATCCTGATTGTATTCTAAATTAATTTATATAAAAAAATCAAATTTAAAAAAATTGCCGATTTTACCATTTTCTATAGCACCTAGCCCATATAAGTGCTGCCAAGGGAAAACCTGAATCCGGAAAGTACAGGTTATTAAAATCATTAGTGATTCATCGTGATGATAGTAACCTGTACTTTCCGGATTCGGGTTTTCCCTTGGCGCCACTCATATATAGTATGAATATATGTATACTAAATCACATTCGTACTGTAATGCGTATGCTCTACAAATTAGTGAAAATCAAAATATAGCCTGCTACAAATAGGGGTTTACTAATTTTCCCCACAGTTCCTATTGGACGAGAAAAAATCGCACTTTTCGATCAAATAACGAAAATGTCGTTGAAACAGTATAAAGGCCTAATAGAAAAAATATTATACTAAAATTTTGCAAGGAATTCTTTTTGTTAGAACACAAAAGGTGTTTTGTAACTAAAATTTTAAGCTACCGACGATTTTGAAAAACTTTAAAAACTTCGATTTTTTTTTGAAAATTTTGTTACACCAGATCTTTTAATTTGATTGGTAAACGAAAGGTGGAGTAGTCGACATTGTCCAATTAGAACCGTGGGGTGAAATTAGGGATCCCCTACACATAGGTAGAGAAGTGCAAATTAAGGAAAATCAAGTTGCTATAGACGGTAAAACTCTATACGCATTTCTAATTATATAACTATAATAGTTTGTAAAATAATACAATAAGCTCACATCTATAATAAATATAGAAATAAGTAATCATATAATGCATAAATAAAAAAAATCCAACCATACACTCCGTTCCTGGTACCCAGCCAATTATCAACTCTAATAACGGATAAATGAATATGCACACAGGCTAGCCAGAATTACCATATTTGAATCAAACGGATATAGAACGCCCGACAGAATATCTCCTACAAGCCAACATTACATAGAATTTACTATTAATATATATCTGCAACTAATAAAATGCTAGACCTAACACTAACCATATGTGATGTTGGCTAAATAGCTGTCGAGGAAATAAGTACATCCCAAATATATGCCGGGCATGTACTATTAAAAATGATGCCTCTGCCTGTTCCTGGCACCTACAGAACCCTAACAGCAGATTACCCGAATCCATCAATTAAAATATATCGGTATTATAGCTTAATTAGAATTTTGCACCTAACTCTAAATGTCTTTAAAATGGGTTATTATCAACATGATACATTTCTTAATGATTTGAGTGTGGTATGATCATATTTGATACGATAAACATTTAAATGCTAAAGATTTTTGCTATTGCTCAGACCATTCCGCAAAAATATGATTCAGAATTTTATTCGCTTATTAATTTTATCAACTGCATTCTTTATGGCGAATGCTTTTGAGTATACAAGCTGCACTGAAACAATGTTTGGTGCTGAACTTGAATTAACATTTGACCCTAACCCACTTGTCGCTGGACAAGACATTACTGTTACTGTTTCTAGTGATTTTAGTCGAGATATTACTGCAGATACCAATATTTATATTAAATTATTAGAACGTGAACTTGATAATAAACCTGTTGAAAAATGCGTATATAAACAGAAAATTTGTATTGGAAACGAAGCTTTGTGTCCAATCTCAGTTGGAAAAAAAGTTAAAGTAACTGCAAAGTTTATGCTGCTGAATGATATTAATATTAATAATCTTATAATGATAGCCTACATTGGAACACCAAGAAACTCAGATAGTGTTGTAGAAACTTTTGGCTGTCAATGTTATTCAAACAATGCTCTTTATTGTGCCGATTTATCGCACGGATCTTAAAAGTAGTTTACTGTATTGTACCAACAATTTAATCAGTCATTTAGAAATTAAATAAATAAATAAGTACAAAATACTATTATTCAATAGGGTTGTTAACGGAGTGCTCCAGACTGTAATAAACATATAACACATTTCTGGAGTGCTCTGGAGTGGGTTACATGTTTTATTATGGACTCTTAACCACCCTACTATTCAATGACTACTATTGAGAATTTAACCATTTCTGATAAAAAATATAACCCATCTGATACAGTATCTGATTTAAGTAATATTAATAATAAAGAGCCTTTTAAACTTGCAAGTGCTATCATTTGTTATCTCAGACAAATCTTAGAAAAAACTTATCAGTTTAGAATTTTATGGTCTTAACCCAGAATCCCGACACTCAAAATCCCGACATTACTAAAATCCAAACACCCAAAATCCTAACATCAAAATCCCATCACTTCCAAAACCTCGACATACTAAAATCCCGAACCTTTCAAGCATAACCACCAAAATCAGTTCCGTAAAAAATACAATTTATACTCAGTGTTATATGAATTTTCATGTGATTTTATTAACATGAGGGACTGTTAATTTAAAAATTGGTGATAAAGTTGAGTTCAACATAAATAATTGTATTTTAATATTATGTAACTGATTTTGTGAAATGCAAGTGATGCAAATCACTTGCTAATAGTAAAAATTCGTTTATTTTATTTCGCTAAAAGCACGTGAAATTCTGACAAGCGTTAGGGTTAGGGTTAAAGTTGGTATAAGAAGCATGCTAAAGTAGATATTGGTTAGGGATTTTTTTGTTAGGTGATTTCTTAGGTACAATTTTGAGTTACCAGCGATGTTTTGCAATCTACTTAGAAAATTTACTTTTTGGATTTGTATCACTTGCAGAAATAAGTGTACCGGTACGCCTAAATATGAAAGGGATGGTTTAAATCAACTTTCTCGTCTCCTATATTTTTCCTATTTTAGTAAGTACTATGATTATCGTGTTTTACTTGTCTTATGATTATTATATGTCCTTTTGAAGATTGGTTATCCTACATATAAAGAAAAATATGTCTCAAATTTTACACGAATAAAAAAGGTCACAACAAAAAAGAATAAAATGTAATAATTAACTTATATGTCAAGAATATTGAGTAAAAATCGATTTATGACCAAAAAACGTAAATGATTTTTACCCCAAAATAAATAGTACAAATAAATATTTATTTATTGTACAATTTATACCAGTACGACCACATGAATATGTAACATGAAATGTGTCAGGGTTCAACTTTTTTGATATTCGCTATACTAAATTTTTGAAAAATCCTTTTTTAGTATAAGTAATGGTTTTCATTTATCCAAATCTAGTAGGAGTTAAGATAATACAGACATTGTATATTCATATGACATCATGTTTGTGTGGGAAAAATATTAGCGTGTGAAATTACATTCAAAACGCTGATTGTCGGTTATGTCGCTCAGTCAAGCCGCTAGTATCGGTTACGGTTAATAACCGTGACAAAATGGTTGTAACCGAACCCATCCTTATTCTGGAGCATAATATTAGATAATATTTCTTAGTTCAATTACTATCATTATTGTTAATTTGATGTTCTTGACAAAAAAAGTTAAAATTTTTTATAATGAGTAGCTTGTCATCTCCAGCATCGTCACAAAATTCTTTAGAGTTTCTTATGTTAACGTTTGGGTTAGATTTAGGTTTAGAAAAAGCTGTTATATAGTAAAATTGCCAAGGAATATTTTTTTGTTAGAGCATAAAGGCGTGTTTTTAAGCAAATTTTTGGGGTAGAAGAGGATTTTTGAAAACTCACGTTTGTCTTGGATCTTCCTGATTGTGTTATGTTGCACCAAGGAGTGATTTGTTATTAGACAATTTTACGTGATCGAAAAAATTTATTAGTGGCAACTAGTGCTCCGAACGGGTCGGTTCGGGTCGGGTTATGAGTCAACCCGAACCCGACCCGACCCGACCCAACCCGAAATTTTAAGGCTAATATATTAAAATTTTTTAAAAAATGAATTCAGTCGCCCATTTTGCTCTTAAAATTCATGTAATGATGACTATCGAAGTTGGCTAATCAAATCCAAACTCGATATGCTTTATAACTACTACAGTAAAAGTCGTGGGTTGCATACTAGAATCAATGAAAGTTTTTTTATTTTTATCCTATGATTCATAGAATTAAAAAAAATTTTGGCTTCCAAAATTTCACAGCAGATTCACGATTTTGATTGGCTAAGAGTGATGAGCAAAATATTTGGCTGGAATTATCAGAATTTTATTATTGTTTCTGGACAAATTTTATCATAATGTGAGATTATTTTCCAAAATTTCTATTTTTGTAATGAAAAAAAAATCAATATTACGACCGGAAATTGTAATGCAGGCCAATATTTTGCGATCTGCGGCCGTTAACCAATCAAAATCGAGGATTTGCTGTGACAATTTTGTTTGAAGAAATCTGATTAATGGTTTTATTTAAACTATTTGAAAATATGTACTTACTATTATAAACATATGTACTTGCTATTAGAACCCCCCAAAACATATAAAATGCTTATTTCGAGTATCTCTAATTGGACAATTTCGAGTCGGGTCGGGTTCGGTTCGGGTTAATGTTCAACCCGAACCCACCTGAAATTTTTGGATCGGATTTTTCTCCCGAACCCGACCCGACCCGAAATTTCAGGTCGGGTTTCGGATTAACCCGACCCGATTCGGAGCACTAGACTCTTCTATTACGTTATTGGCCTTGTCACGTGACTTGCGGCGAGCCGGCAATGGCGGGTTTAGTGATGTATAGGCGAACGATTGTATTCGAAGTGGGGTTAACAGTTTAAACAAGTTAATTATAAAACTGGTACTTGATTATGGATCGGATATTTATTGGTACTGGAAGATTTATTTGCATAAGGGACGGCTGATCTCTTTTCCCTGGGCAAAATGCCCTTTATTTATAATAAACGTCTTATTTACATTCGTTATGCCATAAATGCAAGATATTCCTTATGTTTAATATATTAACTAAATGTAATAAAAGGCCGATATGTCATTTAACGCATATGTGGCCGAAGTAGCAGAAGTGACATAAGTGCATTTCTGTTACTTTTCGCGTGACCTTGGATCGGGTAAAGATCGTCACCCTGATTCGGGCACCCGTGACCCCGAAAATCGGGCTCACAATAGCTTTTTAATTTAAAGAACCATTTTTAATTACAGATCCTGATGATTATAAAGCTGCTATAGTTCGAGCAAATTATCCAATTCCTTCACAGTGTAGGATATTTTTTACTTTGAAATTAATATATAAACAAAAGGAAAAATGGGTAATATTAATAATTGTTGCGGCTGATGCTGAAATTTGGATCTATTTCGATATGAAATTTTAAAATGTTTTGGAGCGTTTTTACCCCTTTTTTTAGATTTAGGTTAGGATTTAGGGTTAGAATTGATATTTAAAGTGTATATGTGGATTTCAGCCGGCTTACATTTTAAAATCAAGACCCCAAATTTCAGCATCAGCCGCGACAATAATTATTTCATATAATAATCATATCTTTGTTCTTGTGGCTTTTTTTATAATCTTGCTATTTTCTTAATAGAATGATTGGAATCGGATATTGTACAAAGCCAAGTGATAAAAAATTAGATGAATCAGCTTATATAAATAATATGCTCATGCCCGGTAATAGAATGTTTTAATTTATTCTCTTACTATTACAAATTAACATTTGTCATATCCTTTAGGTCAGGAATATAAAAAAAAATGAACGAAATAAAGAAAATAAAACATGGGGGTGTGGTTATCATGGTGACGATGGATATTCTTTTTGTTCAGGAAGTGGCGAGCCATATGGATCGTCATATACTACTGATGATACAGTTGGATGCTATCTAAATTTCAGAAATGCATAGTATTTTATACTAAAAATGGAATTAACTTAGGTAACCAACATCTTAGAAATTTAATTTATATTTCTTGTCACGGCTGAAGCTGGAAATTAGGGACCTAGATTTAAAATTATTAACCCTATAAAAATCCACTTATACTCTTCTATTATCAAAACCTAATTATTAAAAAAAGGCTTAAAAATGCACTCTAAAATTTTTTGAAAATTTTATATTAAGAAATAATCAAAATTTCCAGATTCAGCCACGACATTTCTTAAGGGTTAAAATAGAAATTTAATAATTATAAAATATTTTAAGGAATTGCATGCTATTTACCTAATAATTTCAAAGGCGTTCTATATCCTTGTGTTGGAATTAGATCACAAGGCGCGTCAATATAAGTGAACTTCGGCAACGAAAAATTTAAATATTCAGGTAAATTTATTAAATTTATTCAAAAAGCTTAATGTTTTTGGCTTATTTAGAATTTAATCTTGTATATATATACACTTCAATTGATAGCAATGACTAATGAAGGCATTAGTAAAAAATCAAGTAATGCATTAGCATTCGGATATCAAGAAAAGGTTTGTTTTATTATCGGCGGGTATGAAAATATTCTTGTTAATTTAACCGATGAGCTAACAAAATCACTAAAAAAAGAACCGAATGATGCATTTGAATTAAGCTATCGAGGAAAATTATATTTTATTATGGGCGAATATGATAAAGCATTTGAAGATTTAACTAGATTGCTAAAAATTAAGTCAGATAATACAATAGCACTAAGATATCGAAGTGAAATTAACTATATGATAAAAAGGTATAATGAATCAATTACTGACTTGGAGAAATTATTAAAAATTAAACCAGAAGATACATGTGCAGCGGAGGCATGTGAATTAGTTAAAGGGCTGTAGGTATAATGTGCACTTGTAAACTTTAGCAGCTTAAAAAAAATTTAAAATTCATTCCAATACAAAACTAACATAACCATATCTAAATCACTTGTATACCACAATAGCTCGTAAGTAAAGAATTTTTTAAATCACTATAGAAAAGACGTTCATTCCAATACAAAACTAACATAACCATT